TCCCCAAAAGATGATCTGCTCCATCGAAATAGCTGTCTCATCCACCACCCAAGCAAAAAACAAAGACCCATGAGTGGGATAGGAGAAAGCAGTCCTAGACACGGATGAGAAATAGCTCCAAGTGCCAATGCCCTGAGGGAGAGTTTGCTGAGGCTTGCCTGAGGTTGCCAGGGTCTGACTGCATCCTAGGAAACAGAACCCCTTTATAGAAACCATAACAAATTGGCCTAAATCCACATAGGGCCTCTAAGTAGGGGTGCTTCCCTGACTGAAGAAAGGAGCTAACTGGACATGGAATGGAAGAGGTTCTGCTTTTATCAGCTCCTGGGTAGAAAATTAATCTAGAGCTATTAAATAGAAAAAGTTATCCCCCAAAACCCTACACAGTTAAAAAGAAATCACTGCTTATAGGATGTGGAAAGCCACAAAAACACCACCCCCAACTTAATGACAAAAAGCTGAAAAATTTAGTCATTCTTTTGAGCTTAATGTCACGAAACATTTTGTGAGCTACGGTCACAAGACAGTCAGATGAACTAAATGTCAAATAATGGAACACAGAATGTCTCACCTTTGTCAGAGGAAGAGAGAGCTGTCACAATTGGGTAGGAAGGAAAACAATGAGAGTTGATTCCTTAAAATCCCAAACCTAGTTCAGCTACTGACAAGAATGACTCAAGCCCTGACTCACATTAATGGCCTAGCAGAAGAGGTGTACCCATTTCTAGGCATAAGCAGTATTTACTTTAGTCTCCAATTAGACTTAGAGACTTAGTTTCTTTTACACACACACACACACACACACACACAGACATTAAATCAAAAATTATGTGACATTTAAAAAGCAAACTCCTGCAACCTTTCCACTAATTATCAAGAAAGAATAGTCAAAACAATGAGATCCACAGATGGCCCTGATGGTAGAAATACCAAAGAGAGAATTTAAAATAATTACAATTAATATGTCAAAGAATCTAGTGAAAAAGGAGGGCCACACAGATGAACAAATTGACAATTTCAACAGAAATATAGAAACTATTTAATTTCTTCTTCTTTTTTTTTTTTTTGAGACAGAGTTTCACTCTTGCTACCCAGGCTGGAGTGCAATGGCACGATCTCAGCTCACTGTAACCTTCGTCTCCTGGGTTCAAGCAATTTTCCTGCCTCAGCCTCCCGAGTAGCTGGGACTACAGGTGTGCACCACCATGCCCAGCTAATTTTTGTATTTTTAGTAGAGACGGGGTTTCACCATGTTGACCAGGATGGTCTCGATCTCTTGACCTCGTGAATTTTCTTATTTTTAAATGTAAACTTGAAACTGCAATGTGTTATGGCCCAAATGTAATAGTATCTTTTTTGAACTGAGTCTAACAGGGTCTTACCCTGTCATTTAGGCTGCAGTGCAGTGGCACAATCATAGTCAACTGCAGCCTCAAACTCCTGGCCTCAAGCAATCCTCCCTCCTCAGCCTCCCAAAGTGCTGGGAATACAGGAATGATCCACTGTGCCAGGCCTTATAGAAACTACTATTAAAAATCCAAGTGAAAATGCTAGAGATGAAAAACATATTATCAAAGATACACTCTTTCAATAGGGGGACTGAGCACAACGGAGGTAGAAAAATCAATGAAATTGAAAATGTCAATAGAAATTAGAGAGAAAAACACTGAGATTTTTTAAAATGCAAAGCAAACAAAAAGAGAATAGGTACTCAAGAGCTCTGAAACAATATCAAATACTCTAATGTGTAACTGGTGTCCCATAAAAGACAAAAAGAAAGGTACAAAAAAAATTTTTTTAAAACAGACAAGAATTTTCTGAGATATAACTAAAGATAGCAGACTACAGATCTAAGCTGGAAAAATACAATGGAAAAACATAAATAGGTACAACATAGCCAGAAGCTGAAAACCAAGTATAAAGAAAATATACTGAAGGAAATAAAATCACCAGCCTTCACTTCAAACCCTGGTCTCTCCACAAAAAGTCAATCATTAATTGGAATTTAGCAAAATTATCTCCCACATCTGGGGATCTTACTGCACCCTACAGACAATAACTCGGGTAAATGGCTTTGTGTTCCTTCTAGAAGGCATTCGTACAGTTACCACAGAATGTAAACCTGGGGGTACAGGCCTGACACAGCATCTAGGATCATTTCACCAAAACTTCCTGAAGATGTACCTTACTGAATTAAATAGCATTTATTTTCTGTTGTTACACTGGAATGAAAAACTTTTAAAATAGAACCAAAAGTGTCTGGGAATTACAGCTTTCTAAATGTCTATGTAATGTGAATGCAAAATTGAAGCTGAAATGTGTCATGGCCCAAATGTAATAGTATCTTTTTGAACTGAGACTTACAAAATGCAAATAACACTGGGAAAATATGACTTTGCAGAGGCTGTTCCTCTAGAACATTTTTAAAATATCTTTTGGGTTTTAATAGTAGTTTGATTTTATTAGCTGATAACCTTAGTGGGCTTTTAAAAATTTGAAATTTTTTGAAAATTCTGGACTAATGTGCAAAGGTTATGTGTATTTATTCAATGCTTAGGAAACAGGATTTTCAAAATAAAACTGAGTAAAATATTTAAAAATGCATGAAAAAGGAATATTAAAGAAGAGTTTGAGGTAAAACCCAAAAGGCTTACACATATTTACCCTGTTTCTTGGATAGCACTCTCTACTCATTGTGGGGGATCCTGCCTAAAATCCTGGGTGCTTCTGGTCTGTGCATTCTCTTTAGTTCCTTTAGTCAAAGCCTAGCATTTGTTTTCTTTTAGTGCAGTTAATGTCAGAAAACTGACAAGGGACCATCTGCAGCTGAACACTTTGGAGACAGTATTGGGATCTTTAAATCGAGGCTCAAAAGCTCAAAAGAATATGGGACTTTTAAATTTGAGGTCATTACTATAATTTGTTTAGTCTGGAAATATACCAGAAAATATATGAGAGAGTAGAATCAGAAAATACTCAATGAAATAATAGGCAAAAAATTGCAAATGGTCTCTGTAGTCACTCTCTCTAGGTTCAAATCCTAACTTTGCCACTTGGCTTGTGCCTCAATTTCTTGTTTTGCAAAAAGAAATCATAATAACAGCTACCTCATAGAGTTGCTGTGATGCTTAAATGATTTAATAAATGTGAAGGTCTAGAGAGTACTACCATGTAATTAGTGGTTTTTATATTTTTATTCATCTTAACTATCTGTATTATTCTCATTAATTACTTTATATTAAAACAAAGTAAAAAACAAATTAATTGAATTGGAAACGTCTCACCTTCTGGAGAAAACCCAAAAGATATTTTTTCGTGTAGTGATTTAAACAACTTCTTCTGTGTGTAATCATGTCTATCTTCAGTAATCAAGTAAAACAACATCATATGTAAATTTCTGTCAATATCACTGGTTTTTATTAAGAGGAATCCGAACTTTGCCTATATGTTGGCATCTTCTAAATAAACATATTATTGATACATTTGTGACAACTGTTCACATATAAAATAACCTCCAAAGCTAAAACTAATGTAAACCTCCTTCATAATACTCGTTGTGAAATATTTTGAGTATTGTACATTTAAATCATTCCATTATAAACAGGAATATCTGTCTAATCCTTTATGGTTTATGAAGTACTCTTATATCTAGGAAGTATTCCAATTCCCAATATTCATATAATATGAATATGATGCTACAAACTAGAAGGAGAAACCTGTTATAGATTTGCTTTAATGAGTGGAGAAGCTTCCTCTCTTCACCGCAAAGACAAAAAGAGTATTTTCTTAAGGGGACCTCAGAGGATCGCTTTTATGTGCTACAGAACTGAAGTGGAAGGCTACAATATTTTTATACTGGGAAGAATATTATTATTACGTGTTTTTTCCAAACTTTTTATTTTATAGCTAAGGTAAAAAGCAAAATTCAGGAGAGACTTAAATTAGAATTGTTCTAAAGGGGATTAGGTAAGTCTCTTAAAATTTGAAAAAAATATATCATTTACATACAGACCATAAGCACTTTAAAAGGGCAAACTGAAAAGAATCTGTCAAAGATAATGCATTGAAAAGCTGTATAGAGCAAAATCAAGAACAGCTATTTAAAACAATACAAAATTTCCATGTGGAAAGTTCATTTAAAGTGTCTAATTGTGCCTTAAATGGAACAGTGAGCTACGAAATGGTGGCTGATGGTGAGTAAGCTGCTTACATTTTTTTAAAAGCATGTGAGACACATACTTGAGTCTGGAAAAGACATAGATAACAGAGTGACAATAGTCCAGTAAAAGTGTTGACAGCAAGGGAACAAAGAGCACCTTAGGAAGAATGAGCCACAGCACTAGGCATGCCCTGTAAAGCACTGAGCTACACTTCCTTCTTTTCCACCTGTCCTGGTAATTTATCTGCAATGTCTTTGCAAATATACTTGCTCAGAAGTATTACTTAATGGCCAAATGCTGACAAACTTGCAGACTCTATTTAAAATCTTCCTATTTAGCTGGGCATGGTGGTGCGTGCCTGTAATCCCAGCTACTCAGGAGGCTGAGGCAGGAGAACTGCCTGAACCCAGGAGGCGGAGGTTGCGGTGAGCGGAGATCACGCCATTGCACTCCAGGCTGGATAACAAGAGCAAAACTCCGTCTCAAAAAAAAACAAAAAAAATCTTCCTATTACTGGTGAATAATCATGCTAGAAAAACCTTTAAATATTGTAGTATTAAAATGTTAAAAATTGATTTATCTGGCAGTTGGTCATTTGTAACTCCTGAAAATTGATTCCTGATTCAAAGACTAGAAATTCTTTTGGGATTTCAATTTTTGTTTTCTTTTGTTTTTTCATTGTTTTTTCTTTTAAAAAAAATTATCCTTAAATGTCTATCATAAATATAGATATATAACCTCCAGTAGATTGCCTTTATTTTGTAAAAAAGTTAAATACATTTATTTTAAAGTAACTATGGTTTTTATTATCAATATTAATGAGACAGATTATAATCTTACCCTGGTGTGAGTACGAATGTGCATCTTCAGTCCATCATTTTTACTGAATCCTTTTTCACAGTAAGGGCACTGATAAGGACGTTCACCTACAAAGAAAGGAAGCCTCCATGTCAGAAAAAGGTAAAGTAGCAGAACCAGTCCTGTGCTATCACTTCTCATACACTCAGATCCTGGCCACCACATATGTCCTGTGCTACTTCAAGAAGTGGCTATAGGCACAGAGGGGCAGACCCAAGCATGGGCCGTGCAGGACAGCAGTGGACTGTGGCCTCCTCTCCTATGGAGAGTGCACAGAGCTCAGAGCACTTCCAATACCCAAAAATAAACAACATTTACCAGTAGCATATTTGCTGCATATTTCTTTTAATAGTTGAGCTCAAATTAAATCTCCTAATTTTAAGAATTTGTTAAAAATATTTTATGTTAATCACTTTGCTCTGTTACTGTGCTACTCTTGAAAAAGGAATTATTTAACTGATTCATTGACACCTTGATTTGTTTTATTTTTCGTTTCATATAAACGAATTTGTCTCAGTTAAGGCTGTGAGTTTAAAAAGAATTTCATGAAATTGGTATATGTTCAAAAGGACCATTGGTAGTTCAGCTAAATAATAATTAATCCATACTTCCTGATATAATCAAATACCTCTCACCTAGAGGCTATAATTTAGAAAATAGCCAAGATGTTTTTCATGACAAGCAAGCACATGTATACACAGCACATTTTTTTTTTTTAAATTCTACTGTGAAGTGACAAAATGTAGTCTCCAAAAGGGATCTGAAGATGCCCTCTTGTCAAAGCCAAATTATTTACAATGGACAGTAGTTCAAAATCACAGCTCAAAATCACAAATTGATTTATTCTTTCATTTAACAATGTACTTTCACGGCAGGATGCTAGACCCTGGCTGCAATCAAAGATTAACACGATAAAATATTCTCCTTCAGCTAATACTAAACTTCTGTCTTTCCTTCCCTTCAGACCCAGACCTTTTGACTAGCAGGGTATGTTCTTCCTCTACTCTCTCATGTTCCACTTGGTTCTGATCCTAATTCAATCTAGATATCATATGCATTACCCCAGTCAATGCTCTTACGGGGTCAACAATGCCCCTTGTTGGTTGATCCAGTGATCACTTTTCATTAAGGCCTTCCTTGACCCTCTCTCCCCTGTCCCTGACACTGCTTCATGAAATGGACAGTTACATTCCTGGGTCTCAAGGCTGGCCCCGCTGTGTAATGGCCTTACACTGTTCTCCCAAACTTTGATTCCAGCAGTAACATCATGTGGAAGCACCTGCAGCAGTGCCCCCTGCCAAGTGGAATTTTGCAGCCTCTCCTCCTTGGGGAGGAGCACTCAGGATCCTCCTTTTGGACCAGGCACTGTAAAATGGTGACAAACACCAAAAGTAGCAAGAAACTAAAAACAACAATCACAGCACAAATAGGAACAGGACCCTTAAATGAGCCATCCATACCTGCCAACTTCTCTGAGACAAAATCAACCTTTGCACTAGGTAAGCTGACCTACAATTATGGACCTTAGGATCATTGTGACTCTAGGAAGGTACAGCTTTTCACAGTCAGTAGAACAAAGGCTAGGTAACATCTAGGACAATATAATCTTATTTTAACCTTAAGTTGATTGTACATGCTTATGTGAATTCCAGACATCTATTGAGCCCTGGTCTCCAGGTAGAGATATGTCTAACAGGTACACTCCTTTGCGTATCTCACAAACAGCTTAAATCAGCATGCATTGTTTTGAATTTGTGGTATTTATCCTTTGGTCTTGTGCATGCTATATATCCTGTCCTGATTAGTTGTACCACATTCACCTAGTTACCAAATAAAAAACTTGGGAGCCATCCAAGATACCCCCCACTTTTTTACTCACTTCTCCCTCTATCCAGTCTCTAAGTCACAATGATTTCACTTCTCCAATATTTCTAGAATTTTTCTATTTCAGGATGATGGGATAAAAATGAACATCACAGTACCGGCAGTAACAGCATCAGCAGCAATAGTAGGAGTACAGCAGGAGTTATCATTTATTGAGATCTTAATCATTTAACCTTGAGCCACAAAGGAAAAGGACAAGCAGAAAACAGCGGAATGCGACTGCTAAATGGTGGTAGCTCCTTCGTCACACAATTCCAGATAATTTTTCATTTTCTTCTTCATAGAGTATAAAAAGTCATTTATTAGATTTCTCAAAGTTTATTTTACTTTAGTGATAGATAATAAAGAAGGCTAAAATGATTCCTTCTTATTGATTAACAATGAAATCCATCAACAAATCAAAGCTATATTAGGGATAAAGCATGGTAAGAATAGTAATGTGCTCTACACTTACATAAAACTATTTTTCTAGCAAGCCTAAGATAATTTACTATTCATAGCTATTCTCTTTGTATCACATAGCTTTATGCGTGGTTTTGTTCTCCAAACAGCAATAGAATAGCTAGCAAACAAAAACAAAAGACTTGCAGTCATCAGGTAAATAATTGTATGTTAATTCTAATATAATATACCAGGTTACTATTCCCTTTCATAGTAGCCAAAATCCATCAACAAAGAAATATAGTTAAAAACTAGTAAGGAATTTTAAAGAAGAAACATAACAAATTCATTTCCGATTTTACCTACTGTCTTAATATAGGAATTCTGTTCAGAGACTTAAAAAGACTAACTTAAGGCATAGCTTTTTAAATCCTTCTTTGGAATGTGATTGTCATGGGTTTGAATACTGCTCATCCTCCTTCCAGCTGTGACCCCAAGAAAGACATCCAACCTCATTGAACGTTTGAAAATTGGATAAATTATACCTATCTTATGAGTGCACTGACCATATATCCAGCTTTGTCTAAAGTAGTCTCAGTTTATGCCTGTTATCCCAGAACAATATAGTAACAGCTGGTTAATTTTACAGTCAACTTCAGTAGGTTGAGGGATGTGGCCAGATAGCTGGTAAAACATTATTTCTGGGTCTGTGAGGGTGTGTCCAGAAGAGATGAACATTTGAATCAGTAGACTGGAAAGAAGATTCACCCTCACCAATGTGGGCGGGCTTCATCCAATCCATTGAGGGCCCGGATAGAACAGAAAGATGGAGGAACAGTGAATTAATTAATTGTCTCTCTGTTTTCCTCTCTCTCTCCTTCCCTCCCTCGATCTTTCTCCTTGATCTGAGATGACATCCATCTTCAACCCCTGGACACAGAAGCTCCCAGTTCTCTGGCCTCCGGACTTCAGTACTTACATCAACAAACCCCTGCTCCTGGTTTTCAGGCCTTTGGCCTTCGGCTAAGTTACATGATTGGCTCCCCGGTTTGCAGAATTTCTTTCTTTTTTTTTTTTTT